TGTATTGCATTACTCCTTTTGTGTTACAGAAATGAGGTCCACAGATCTACCCACCATCATCGTCAGTGCCAAACACACTGGGGGAGTGCAAATATTAATCAAAATGACATCTCCAATTTCTCTTCCTTCCTAATCAGGCCTAAATATCATGGGGCAGCCAGGAAATCAATAAGAAAAACTGGATGCTTGCATCACTCCCAACTTGGCAGACCTGTCTTTTCTGCCATGACGAAGACCCCTGGTGTTAGCACAAACACTTGCCAACTTCAGTCCTTCGCCTCTCCCATGAGATGCACATGTCCACCTAGGTGCCCACCTAGGATCCCAAGCTTTATCCAACATGCATATGATGACACCAGTCACTGAAAGACAGCCCTTGTGCCATTTTAAGATACAACAAGCTATGGAGGTAGGAGTGGCTCTAAGATATGCAAGTGCATTCTTTCAGAGTCTCAGGAATAAAGTGTGTATTGATGGTAACAAAGTATTAAGACTAACAAAGTCTCACTGCATCCTCCACACCTGAGAGAAGAGGTGGCACAGGAATTGATCCTAAGCCTTATACATATCCAAACATCAACCACAAAGACTTTGAGCACATAGCTGGGCACTGATAACTCATTCCTTTAACCACAGCTACTTAGGAGACTGAGATCTGAGGATCACAGTTTGAAGCCAGCCTGGGCAGAAAAGTCCATGAGACTTATCTCCAGTAAAGGACTCAGCACCAGAAGTGATGTTGTGGCTCCAGTGGTAGAATGTTAACCTTCAATAAAAGAAGCCCTTGAGTTCAAGCCCCAGGACCAGCACATACCCCAAAAAGACTTTAGAACAAATAAAAATTAGTATTTCTGGCTCAATGTCTTCTTCCTTTTCCTTTCTAGTGTCCTGTCTCCCTCCCCTTCCCCACCATTATCCCACTGATGACTTTTTTTTTTTTTTTTCTGTACAAGCTCTGGGATGGTTCAATGGCTGAGGGATCTGATGTCTATTTTCACATCATTTACTTTCAGGAGGCAGAATACTGAATAAATAGAACACAAGTCTAAGGCCATTCACAGTTGGAGCTAGTGTTGAACTCTAGAGAGAATATCTATTACTACACATAAGAGGCAAAGGAAAGAGACGATAGGGAAAAACAAAGGAAGAGGTAACAATGCTCGATAGGAAATGTACTCATTACCTTACTCATGTAACTGTAACCTCTCTGTACAGCATCTTTACAATAAAATAAATATTTTTTAAAAAGTCAAAGGCCCAGGAAAAAGTGACTGGGGTAGAAAATACACAGATTTAACACCTAAGGAGGAAGGGCATGCCCTGTGGGATCCAGAAATCCTAGAAGAACTTTTTTTTCCCCCCATCATTCATGGGGCTTGAACTCTGGGCTTGGGCACTGTCCATCAGCTCTTCAGCTTAAGGCAAGTACTTGAGCCATAGCACCACTTCCGGTTTTTTGAGTGGTTTATTGAAGAGTTTCCTGGACTTTCCTGACCGGGCTGGCTTTGAACCGCAATCCTCAGATCTCAGCCTCCTAAGTAGCTAGGATTACAGGCGTGAGCCACCGGTGCCTGGCTCCTAGAAGAACTTTTAAAGGACCAATTACAGCTGGACAGTCATGAGCTGAGGGCCACCACAACTGGCCAGTGTTCATGTGAATTCATTTCAACCCCATCTACTAAAGCCAACAATGCTGGAGTTAGTTCATGCATTCTTTCACTGATTTATGGGCCAGTCATATAAGTCAACAAGACACATTCCAGTTAGGCTCTTTTCAGCCTGTTTGAGTCTCAGCTGGTGTTTTTCTCCCTACACTTGTGGAAATATAAATGAAAAGGCTTCTGAGCTCAGATATTTCTACATGCATAAAAAAATTAAAATCAAGTATGATGAAACCTTCTTAGCCAGATGGAATTCCACTTAAGGAAAAAAAATAGTTTGTTCAACTATAAGCAAAAGAGGAATTGCAGAGATTAAAGGCAACTGGTTAAAAAAAGAGTCAGTACCAGATACAAGACCAAGAGGAAGAACACAGACTTATAAGGAATGAGGTAATGCTTTAGGCAAGAGCATGTCATCAATATGAAGACATCAATATACTCATGAGTACAGTTTTCAGCAGTCATAACGTTCAGTTGGAGCTGAGGTTGTTAAAAAACCATCATTGTAGTCAGGTGCTAGTGACTCATGCATCAGAATCTAAGGATTGTAGGTCCAAGATAGCCAGGGCAGAAAAGTCCATGAGACTTTGAGCTCCAATTAACCACCAAGAAGCCAGAAGTAACACAGTGGCTCAGCTGGTAGAGTGCCAGCCTTGGGGGAAAAAGCTAAGGGATGACACCCACACCTTGATTTCAAGCCCAAGAACGGGAACCAAAAAAAAAACCCTAAAATAAAATAAACATGAATGTAGTTCACATGAGATAACTAGTCTCATTTGGAACACTCTCTAGATTCGACACTAGACATACACATGTTTAACATGTGTATTTTTCATAAGAAACACTACCAATAAACCAGCTCTGGGGGATTCATGAATTAAACCATGATGTGTTCTTAATGGTCACTATAGTGATCCCTGTCCATTCCATTCTTTCTAACTTTTAGTTGTCCTACCTCAAGTACAACAAACTGATGCCCACAACTGAACATCTTTCACCTCTGACTCCGGGATTAAATTAATGGAGGTGACTCAAAGGAAATGAAGACATTATCTTTCAACATAGTCTGTTTCTCCTGTGTATCTGGCTAAAAGTGCTTTTCTTGTACCTTATTAGGAGAACCTACTTTCCCTGAACATCAGCCCTTGCTGGGTTTCAGCACTTTATTTTCTCCTCTTTGTTTCAGCTCTATAGGTAACAATTATTTCCTGATGCTGCCAGGGTCTAGGTGCTAGACACTTCACTGCTTGCTCTTGGTCTGCCTACTCATAGCCTTATAACTATTCCTTTTTTGAAATTTCATTATTTGACCTATCTGAATTGAATGCAGTTTCCTGCCAGGACTGACTGAAATATAATACAGAAATCTACTTACTGGGCTGGGAATGTGGCTTAGTGGTAGAGTGCTTGCCTAGCATTCATGAAGCCCTGGGTTTGATTCCACAATACCACATAAACAGAAAACGCTGGAAAGGGTGCTATGGCTCAAGTGGTAGAGTGCTAGCCTTGAGCTAAAGAAGCTCAGGGACAGTGCCCAAGCCCCAAGTTAAGCCCCATGACTGGCAAAAAAAAAAAATTCTACTTACTAACATTAAAATGATGTCTGACAGAAAGTAGGTCACAGTATAAATACCACTATGTTTAGGTAGTAGGATAGGATCGTTTTCCCCCATTTTATGTCTTTTTAGTTTTCAAATGTCTACAACATTTCATTACATATTTGAGGGAAATAATAATAAAAATTAAGTGTAAAATGAAAATATAATCTCAAGAAATACTAGTTGGTTGGTTTCTCTCCTTTATTTCCTACATCAAGAATTTCATAAATAAAATGTTGCATTACCTAAAGGTATCCTGAAAGTATCATGAACACTTGATTGTGACCAGATACTTTATTCCATTATGTGAGAAATATATGTTCAGTGACAAAGTGTTCACAATTACACATGCAACTGTGCACACTTGTCATGTCTGTGATGCTTCAGACTTGGCCTTCATAAGCAGAAGACTTTACTGTATTCTATGATAATCACAGAGCTCACTGCCTATAGATAGTAGTTCATTTAATTTACAAGCTAGTGGATAGTAGCTTATTTACTCTTGCAGTGAGGATTATGACTCCCTTTTCACAGAGAAGAAAATTGTCCTGCAGAGAAATCATATAATTAGCCCAAAGTCATATATTTGTCTTCATGAGCAGGTCCTACAGGCAATCTTGGCTTTAATAGGCTTATTTTAATCCACTAAACTCAATGGCCACTCTCATAAGTAAACTGCCTAAGACTTTCTGAAACTCTCCTAATTTTGGATTTGTTGTGCAAAGAACCACGAGAGTTCACTAATTATGAGCTACAAAATCCTGCAAATCTACATACAGATCTGCAAGTCTCCATCAATGAGATGCTAATAATACTTCCCTTCCTAGAAAATGTGAGAAACACATGACATAACACATGAAAGACATCAAAACTCTAAAGCAAAACCAGCTGGCAAATGAAGGACAACACTATGCTGCCCCCTTGAAATGATGAGGGTATAAGTCATTGTCAGTAACACATGGTAGTCAAATGTAAAGAAAATAGTTATTATTTTGATGAGGCATAACTCCAAAATATACTGTTATGAACTATTTGTTATAACACTCAATGTAAAACCACTACTGATTAATCAATAAGAACCATGCAATCCTTTCAATGAAACACACTCCCAAGCTCACCTCCCTCTCTCCCATTCATTACTTGCCTCACCTTATTTGATAAATCCTCAGAATTTTCTGAAATACATTCCTCTCAATCTCTAATTTTACATATAGAGCAAATTAAGCAAAAACCATTACAATTCAAACTCTCCATTCTCTGTGGTACAATATGAAAAGTTTAATTGAGCCACTTAGTTTTCCGTTTCCCTGACTCAACTTTTTTTGAGTTTTCTAATTAATTATATTCCATTATTCCTGATGATCAATTAGCTCAAAATGTTGCTGAGATAGTGAGTATGCTGAAGACGGCAGAATTTAATGATAATTTGAGACCAGTAGGACACTAAATTTTTCTCTTGTTAATAATTAAAGTAGATAACTTATGTTTTTATTTATAGCTTCCAGAAATATCCGGTTCATTCCTTTGCACTGCCCTGTCAGCTAACCATCAGATGATCAGGATCTGACTTAAGCTTCTGTGCTTTATTTTCCATATATGCCCCAGAAGGCATAGATAAAGCCCATGCAAAGATTAAAGGAAATGAAGTCAACCCTATGTAATCTCTTGAGCTTTCTACCTGGCCAAATGCTTGTGCAGCATAAATATGCAAAGAATAAACAAGAGTAAAAATTCACTTTACCTGTTTCAATTTCCCAGATGTAGACAGAGTCATCTGCACATCCAACAATTAAAAAGTTTTCCACAGGGTGCCATCTGATTGTCCTCACAGGGAAAAGGTGTTTCCGGGCTTGAAGGAGGCAGCTTCTCCCCTCCAGGTGAAGGAGAGACACAGAGTGGTCACTGCACACACAGCAGATTATCTGATCATCTCTGAACTGGGAAAAGACAACAGGACAACAGGAAGGTCCAAGTAATCAGATGGTTTATGACTAAATAAATATTTCCCGACTAGTAATATGTCACTTTGGTTAAAGTCCGATTTATAAAAAGTAAAAAAAATAAGACCTTTCTACTTTTGGGGGGTTTTGTTATTTGTCTTTGACATTTCTACTTTCTATAGAAACTCTTCACATGGCCCTCTAAGGAGGGCCTTTAAATACATAGTAGAGTTAAACTCAACAACCTCTCAGGAAGGTCAAGAGATAGAAGTAGAAAGGAAAATTCTTGGCTAGATCTACTTGGGAGATAAATGAAGGACTTGATCATCACTCAGCAAATTCAGGCAGTGAGGCAGACATCGGAAATAATGTAGAATAAAATAAACCCCAGAACTAATTTGTTGCCACAAAAAGAAGCTATTTGTAGACACAAGCTTAGGCCCAAGGGTATCATAAGATGATAGTTTCCACTGAAAGCCTCAAAATGTGATTTGGTGCTGTTCCCAGAACTATACAGATTCTAATCCACACAGGAAATTCAGTGTAGACACAATCTAAAAGAGGTAAGCCTACAGTAGTTCAACTGAATGTACAGCCTCAAAGACACAAGAACCAAAAATAGGCTCTTAGGACAATGATCTTGAAATTTTAACTGGGAGAGAATGAGGGAAGGGGTGACATTGTTCAAAAAGAATGTATTCTTTATCTGACATTTAACTGTAACCCATCTGTACATTACCTTTACAATAAGAATAAATAAGTTTTTTAAAAAAGGTATTTTTTAAAAGTCAGCATGTGGTTTCCTTCACTACAGTTGAGGACCATGACTATCTAAGCTGGGTGTTGTTGACCTACCCATAATTTCAATTCCTGGATTTAAAGATGAGTGATCTTGAAATTCTCTCCGGGCCTTTATTTCCCACCTCTGGAGCTTTGGAAACATTTCTGCCCCCCAAGATTCGTTTTAAAAATACTACATAAATCCTGAGGAAAAATAATTACATGGGAAGCTAGACTTGTAGAGTAGATACAATGTCATATTTTTTTCTGACTTTCCTGCCTAACCCACAGCTTCTAAAATGTACAGCCCTTGTGGTCCACACATACATACCAAAGAGAGAGAAAGAGAAGAGAAAGAGGGAGAAAAAGAGAGAAAGGGAGGAGAGGGAGAGAGGGAGGGAGAAAGAGGGAGGCAGAGAGGGAGGCAGAGAGGGAGGCAGGGAGGGAGAGGGAGAAGAGGAAGAGAAGAGAAGGGAAGAGAAGGAGGAAGAGGGAGAAGGAGAGGGAGGGGGGGAGAGAGATAGGAGAGGAGGGAGGGAGGGAACAAATCTTATGACCAGGAATGGATCCCCACCAGGGACTGACACTAGGCCAATCAGATTCTGTTTTTCTAAGCATTTGAAAAATAAAAGGTGAAAGAATTCATAGGAAGAATAAAGAGAAGGGAGTAATCACAGAAAAGCATACTCTTCTGGGGTACAGGTCCCTCACTGGTGGATTTATAGTTCAAGTTCCACTGAGCCCTGTCTTGACTGCCTTAAAGGATTGCTGCTTTATTCTTTCGGTCAAGTACCTTTTGACGTGGGTTGAATGGGCGCTGAGCCTTAGAATCAAATCAAGAGAAAAAGGGATTAGGACTGGAACTGACTTGGACTTCTGCCCTGGAGCAGAAAGAAAAAAAAAATAAAAAGACTCAGGAATAAAAGATATTATCAAGATATTCCAAATCAGATGAAAACTATTTTAAACACTGACCTACCATTATGTCATTAAAAATCATTTGTATTGTTGAAATGCTGCTTTCCTTATATCTTACTACAAAAACACAGTATATATTTTCTTTAGTATATATTTTCATAAGCTTTATGGAAGATGAACCTAACTTGGCTTTCATGAGAAAATTATAACTAAACCTGTTTCATGTGGCTCACTCTAGATAGGTTGGTACTCATGAATTTGTTGAAGTTCAATATTTATTAAAGAAATAAGCACAGGGAGTGCAGTTATACCCATAGTGGTATATAGGCTAGGGCCGGCATGTCCTTGGGCTAGAGAGCAGGACACTTGGCTTTGGAGCTGTTATCTTTCCAGTGGTAGTGACGAAAGAGCAAATTTAAAATGGGTGAGGTTGAGAAAGAAGATTTTTGTTCAGAAGCGTGCCCAGTGCCACACTGTTGAAAAGCAAGTACTAGACTGGGCTTAATGGTCTGTTTGGTCCGAAGACGGGTCAAGCAACTAGATTCTCTTATGCAGATGCCAACAAGAAGGGACAAAGGCATCACCTGGGGAGATGACACACCCAAAAAGTACATCCCTGGAACAAAAATGATCTTCTCTGGCAATAAGAAGGGAAAAAGGGCAGATTTGATAGCTTATATTCAAAAAAGCTACAATGAGTAATAACTACTGCCTTATTTATTGTAAAACAAATGTCTCATGGCTTTTTAATATGTACCATAATTCAACTGATCTCTAACATCAGAATTTAGACCATAAATGGCTGACAGAATATTTTTGTACAATCCTGATTTAAGTAAACTGTCTTGTGCTTAAATAAATACGATCTTAAAAAATGCTGTCACTGTTTTCCCTTTCTGTGATATAAGTGGACTTAGTAAAGTTCAATTTTTCAGCAGGATACCATCTCCAAATCTGTCAGAGATTGGGTTTGGATTCAGATTTATATAGTTAATTTTGAGAGGATCTTTAAATACTGGAGAAATCCCTTCACTATCTCAGAACCAAGCAAGATTCACCTACTTCAATTTATGATCATTAACCTGTTAAAGGCAATGGTTGAAGATGAGGAAGCAATGTCTGTATTTTTGGTTTTGACTATGCCAATTTAATTAGATTTCCATGTCTTTGAAGTCTGTCTTTTACTTACTGAAAGGCATTTTAGTATGGCTTATGTAAAATTGTCCAATAAAGAATATTTAACACTTATTACATTTTATAGTTGATCTGTAAGTCAGATGCTTTTAAAAGTGACCAAGATAGATACAAAAGCAACTTTATTTTTTAATTCTTTACTAAGATAGCTTGTTATTTCAGGTTTGTCTTTAAGCCACTGTTCAGAAACACAAAATTGTGGAATTACTGTGCATATGTGATTGATAGTGCTGCTTTTTGCCAACTTCTTAGAGAAAAGGTTTCAAGTAGGGGAGATAATTTGCAAATTATGTGGCCATAAGAATTTAGGTAATTAAAAGTAAATTACATGAAAAAAAGAGAAAGAAGCACAGGTACAGGAGGAGAAAACTGGGGGAAAGTAAAGGAAGGGATATGTTGTCCAAAAAAAGAAACGTACTCATTACATGACTTATGAAATGGTAACCCCTCTGAACCCCACCTAATAATAACAAAACTATGTTCTAAAAGAAATCAGCAAATAAAAATCCACATAGGGAAAAACATAAATATCAATATTTTTTAAAAAGAAAATTATTGAAGAAAAACTAAATTTATGCCTTCCAACCATTGTTTAACTGTAATTTTGTATTATTACTTTTATTTATTTTTTTAAAGATGTATTTGTTTATTCATTTTGTTGTAGTACCTTCTTTTTTTGGGGGGGGTCCGGTCATGGGGCCTGAACTCTGGGCCTGGGCGCTGTCCCTCAGCTCTTCAGCTCAAAGCTAGCGCTCTACCACTTGAGCCACAGTGCCACTTCTGGCTTTTTTCTTTTTGCTTATGTGGTGCTGAGGAATCGAACCCAGGGCCTCATGCATGCAATGCAAGCACTCTACTACTGAGCCACCTTCCCAGCCCTAGTTTTATTTTTTAACTCTCATATTAGAGCTAGAGAGGAAAAAAGGGTAGGTACTCAAAGAAATAATTAAGTGGCTTTGGGGAAGCGAGAATTGGTTACATATTTGCTTTGCAATAAAATTGTGTAACATAATAAATTAAAATGTATATAAAATGATTAGAAAGGAAAAAATCCCATTATATATGGATATATAGAAAAAATTTTCCCACAAGTATATGCACTATTTTCCCTGGATGTTCTTTTAATATTTTGTCATGTTTTAATTATTTTAACTTACTCTGAAGTTTTCTGGTGACATTGAAAGACTTGTTACTGGACCAGCTTCCAAAGAGAATGTATGCAATATTTCTTCAGTAAAGATATCCCACAATATGACACATGAACCTTGGTCCCCAGACACCATCCAACTTTGGTCTAATTTTGAAGAGACACTATGTAGGTAAAGCAATGAAGTAACACTTTGGTGATGCCCTTTAAGAACTTTATTAGAGAGAGAGTCTGAAAAAATAATCAAACAAAATAGCACGAAGTTATTTTAGTTCAAGAACTAATTATATTTTCTGATTTTTCATTTGAACACATGGCCTGTGCTTACTAGGCAGGGGCTCTACTGTTGAGGTATGCCTCCAGCCCTTACATGCACTGGTTATTTGTGAAGTTGCTGTTAAGGATTGTATTTAGACCATTATCCTCCCATTTTTTTGTATCCAATTGGAACCAGGATGCCAAGTGCATGCTACCACACATAGCTTCTTCTGCTGAGACTGTCTTTCAGACTTTGCTATTCAAGTTTGCCTGGAATTGTGTTCCTCCTGTTCTTAGCCTCCATATAGCTAGGATGACAGGTATGTACAAACACAATAGCTATTGGTTAAAGGGGGGTAGGGGTGGAAAAGACATTGTTTTGCAACAGTAGCCCTTATTTCATAATCCTCCAGATCTCAGCCTCCCAAGTAGCTAGGATTACAAGTGTGAACCACAGTACCTGGCTTTCTTTCATCAGTTTTTAGTATTAGCAAACACTTGGACAAGAAAATGAGTAAACAACCCTCAGGCTATCTGAACAGGCAAAGACCTCATCAGAAGTTATATCTTGCTTCTGATAAAGCACTTAAGTCAGTTGTGTAAGTCTACTAATTCTCTAAGATGTAAGTTAGCAACTCATGTGTCACAAAAACAACAAACACTATTCTAAAAAGAGTAGCTAATTCATTTCCTTTTCCTCTACCAAATAGCCTAAGATTATTTCTATCATTCTTTAATACAACCAATCAAGTATAAAACCTAAGAAAAGTTTCAAGGAATATGTGTCCATGAAAGTCATGAGCGAGTACCTAGCTGTACGTGCTTGTTTTACAGATAATGTATCAGAGGCTCAGGTAACTCACTTCATTTCAAGTGTCAAAAATCAGCCTTAAAACTTAAGAGCATAACTTTGCTGTGAAACAAATCTGCCTTTTTTTTTCTGGGTCAATCACTGACTAGATGCTTTTATCATGGACAAACAGCCTTTCCCCTGTTAACCACAAATGCTGCATTGAAAGATCAGGACAATTGTCATCTTTCTTTCAAGGAGGCTGTCCAGTGGAATAAATCATTTCTCAGCCTCTGATCTGGCACTTACTCGATGCATAGGCATTTCAAACTATATCTATACTAAAAAACAGGATTACTGATAAGTTATTTCTCTTCCCACTAACCACTTCTGCCTTCAACATTAACCTCCTTGAAACTGGAGAAGATCATAATGAATACCATAAATTCTTTATTTCTGTTACTTCTAGTCCATCAAGTACATCGTTGCTTTCTATTTCCCAGGAACTCATAATGAGCATTAATCCAGATGCTAAAATCAGAGGCATGTTTCTGCTTGCTTTTTGGGTAATAGGGTACATCACCTAAACTTAAATAAATGCTTGGTTTTCTTTATTTCACTTTTAAAGCAACCATTTAGCTATATACTGGTACATTACCTCTCTTCAGCTCATTGCCATTTAGTCCTCTACTTCAATCACTGAATCATGAGCAGTGATAGTATTCACTAAGTAGCGAAAGTAAGCTTAAAGAAATAGTGGACACTTTAGTAGGAAAAGGGGTGTCTGTGTCTGTGTGTGTACACGTGTGTGTGTGTACATGTGTGTACTACGATCCTCAGATCTCAGCCTCCTGAGTATATAGGACTATAGGCATGAGCCACCACCATCAGCTTGGTTTTTGTGTTTTTTAAAATAGAGATTTAGTCTCTACTCTTAAAGACTTCACATTTTAAAAGGACTTATTAGTTGAAAAATGACATACATTTTTCTATCTACCTTAAAATCTCCATTTTTCCTGGATGTCTTATATAAGAAGACTTGCTGCAAAATGCAATTTATATCATAGATATTTGTTGTTGTAATGGTCAAAGACATAGAACATATATACATTTCATAAACAAAAATTAAACTATGAGAATATATTTTACTCCTGGTTTGCAAAATTTAAAAAGTTTAGTAGCACAAAATTTAGCAAAAATTAAAAAATTTAGTAGCAAAAATTTAGCAAATTTGGGGAAACTTCATAGGCAACTTTTTGGATATGTATGTATACCAAAGTAAATTCTTTATAGAATGTTTTAGGTATATTTCTAAAATTAAAAATATAAATAACTGCTGGGGTGCCGGTGACTCACACCTAAATTCCTAGCTATTCAGGAGGCTGAGATCTGAGGATCATGGTTCAAAGCCATCCCAGGCAGGAAAGCCTATAAGACTCTTATCTCCACCAGAAAACCAGAAGTTGTGCTGTGGCTCAAGTGGTAGAATGGTAGTCCCTTGAGCTGAAGAGCTCAGGAACAGCACCCAGGCCTAGAGCTCAAGCCCTATGACCACCATCACCACCAACACCAACTATATATATATATATATATATATATATTGATATATATATATTGATATATATATATTGATATATATATATTGATATATATATATACATGCACACACATATGAATAACTGTTAATCCAGTAGTTCTACTCATGGGGAGTAATCCTACAGGTATGTCTACATATATGTAAAAAGGTAAATTCTATACTACCCATAGTAGCTAAGGAGTAGAAAATCTAAACACTAATTAATGGAAATTTTAAAAAATTAAAATTTGATTATTGGCAGTCATTTATAACAAGCTCAGAACATCTTATTAAGATGTTTTTATGGCCAGGCACTGGTTGCTCATACATATAATCCTAGCTACTTATAAGGTTAAGATCTGAAGATCATAGTTAGAAGCCAACCCATACAGGAAAGGCCAGGAGACTCTTATCTCCATTAAACTGCTAAAAATAAAAATATAAAAGCCAAAAGTGGAGCTGTGGCTCAAGTGGTAGAGTGCTAGCCTTGAGCAAAAGAAGCTTGGGACATTCAAGCCCAAGTCCTAGCACAAAAAATAAAAGAAAAAGAAAGAAAATGATGTATTTAGAATACATTTCTATTTATGTAAGTGAATTAAAGAATATATACTGCTATGCCAGTGTGCTTGTACAAATATACATAAAATTTCAAAAAGAATATAAAAACTATCACTGCCTTTGTTGAAAGGAGCTGGAAGATTAAATAAGGAAAGAAACTTCCCATTGAGCCAGGCACAGGTGGTTCATACCTAATTCTAGCTACTCAGGAAGCTGAGATCTGAGGATCATGGTTTGAAGCCTGCCTAGGTAGGAAACTATGGGAGACTCTTATCTCCAATTAATCACCAAAAAGCCAGGAGTAGACTTGTGGCTGAAGTGGTAGAGTTCCAGCCTTGAGTGAAAAAGCTCAATTAGCACGTGAGGCTCTGAGTTCAAGCTTCAATATCGAAACATGAAAAGAAAGAGGAAAAAGTTAAGGGGTCTATTTCATTTTAGTATTAAAATATGCACACTTTTTTTCAGCAAATACTAATAGATTCCTTTTAGGCCTCTTCTTTAAATAAAGCACAGTGAAATTGAAGCTTCATTAATTATGTAAATAGGGTCAAATAAAGTTCAATCACCTTTTAGTAAAGAACAGCCTTCTAGAAGTCCTGACTTGGCAGCATTCAAAGCCTGGGTGATGAAAATTGTCCCGTTTTCACAGCCACATATCAGCTTATCAAGACTTGGAACGTACTCTGATGATGTGACTACCATACTACCTGCCTCATCTTTAAAGCCAGAGAAATGGTCCATGATACTTTGAGATACCATTTGATGCTTATCAAAATTATCTTGAAGGGTCCAGGTGGTAGTTATTGGTATCTCTAAAGGAAAACACACAAGAAAGAAAAATATAAATCATATTAGGTAGAGAAAATATTATCAAGACATAACGCTTTAAAACTAGGAATATAGTGGTTCAGCTCAACCACATTCATATTGCCAACATATATCCTTTGTTTTAATCAACTGATGTTAATTTGAATTACGATAGCTGTACTAATATATCTGATCTCTAAGACTCATTTTTATTTCTGCTTTTATGGGGGCATATAATACTTAGAAGGTTATGAGAAAACTTTTTTTTTATTTTAACCCCATGTAACTGAACACAGAAAATTCTTGAATTACAAATTACCAGAGGGAAGGACTGGGAGAGTGTCAGGGGACAAAAGACACTATATGAAAGGAAATGTACTCATTACCTGCATGTAATTGTAATCTCTCTCTACATCACCTTTATAATACCAATGAAGAAAATTAATTTGAAAAAAAGACTTAAAAAAAACAAATTGTTTCTCATTAGGCATATGATTAGAAATTATCCTACCTCTGGGAGAGCCATCAAACTTGGATACAGGGACATCTGGAATGTGCCACAGAGTAATTCTTCCTGAGACTTCTCCAGAAAAAAGTACCTTATAGAAAGGCTCTTTTCTTTCATTCATGTAACCCATAACAAAGGGGAGGCTCTGTACCAAAACAAAAAGTGGGACTTTTATAGAGGCAACATTCTAACTGTAAAAAGTCACTGTTTTTAAATGGAGGATCAAGACTTCATAGATGAACTAAAATTTGTAGTAGTAGCAGTAGTTGTGTGAAGTTGTACTCGGTATATGAGTACAATGAATCTTGATCAATGTCATCCCTTCCATCATTCTTCCCCACCCATCCCTTCAAGTTACATGGTTCCATTTTCATATATTGAACGAAATCTTTTTTTTTTTTGTCAGTCATGGGGGCTGAACTCTGGGACTGGGTGCTGTCCCTCAGCATTTCAGCTCAAGGCTAGTGCCCTGCCACTTGAGTCACAGTGCATTTCTGGCTTTTTTCGGCTTGTGTGGTACTGAGGAATCGAACCAAGGGCCTCATGCATGCAAGGCAAGCACTCTACTATTGAGCCAACTTCTCAGCCCTTGAACTAAATCTTAGTGATTTATTTTCCCCCACTTCCAAAATTTTCAAGTAAATTGCAAAAAGATGGTCTTCATAAAACAAACAGCAAAATTATAAACTAGATTTCAGGAGTTGATAAGAATATCTGATCACTACCAACATTTCTGAATATGGATTATACACACTGAGGATTTACATGTAATTACTGATAGAAGCTTTATACATATTCAGCTAAGTAATCTTCAGAATAGTTCTATGAACTTAGTGTTATCATCGTCTTCATTTTGAAGATGAGGAAACAGTATGAAAGGATGATGGAGACAGCAATGGGCTTCAAGTCTAGTAATTCTGACTCAGGAGCCCATGTCTTTATTTTAGGACTGCCACTAAGGAGCTCTAATCTCTCCACAGCCCTTTCAGATCTAAATTAGAATAGCAACAGTCAATGTTTATATGGTAATAACAAATAGGCTATTTGTTGACCATTTTTACATGTGTAACTTTCAATGTCTCAAGTGTTCACAAAGAAAAGTGTCTCCCTAATTTATATTTAATATGCATTACCTATACATAAAATGCACTATATGTATTATACAGCATGTGCATTATGCACATGTGTTATAAACAAATTATACACACTTGTATATATGCATATACACATCTATACACATACACACACACACACACACACACACACATATAAGCTAGCTCTGCTGAGAAGTTTATGAACATTAGGCATTGTACTCTCCAACCAAAGAACATGTCTAGAGTCCTCCCATTCACAGTGCAGTGCAGCTGTCCTTTGGGCAGACCCAGGAATAAAAATTAAGTGATGGGGCTGGGAATGTGGCTTAGCGGTAGAGTGCTTGCTTATCATGCATGAAGCCCTGAGTTCGATTCCTTAGTACCACATTATTGGAAAAAGCCAGAAGTGGTGCTGTGGCTCAAGTGGTAGAGTGTTAGCCTTGAACACAGAGAGGCTCAAGGACAGTGCCCACACCCCAAGACTACCAAAAAAAAAAAATTAAGTGATTTAAAAAAGAAAACCAAACATTTTGTGATGTACAAATAAAGGGCATCTTGAAAAGAAAGCCAATTATTAGTGCCAGAATTAAAGAAGTTGAGAAGAGCTACCATTTCTGGACATGATTTTAGGTCTGGAGAATACTGAGGACCAGAACCATGCTACATGAAATCCCAACTACAAAGTTAGGAACTAAATACTGTTATTGACACTATTATGGAACTGAGGCACAGAAAAAAATGTGAAAACAACAAACCAAATCCATGATGTACAAACTTACAAGCCATCATGTTGGAAATGAACTTTACAACTGGGGGGAAGGGGGAGAGCAGTCAGGGAGAGGGAAAACAGGAGAAAAACCTGAGAAGGGGGTAACAATGTTCAACAATAATTGTACTTATATAACTATAACCCCTCTGTACATCACCTTAATAATAAATTTTTTAAATAATAAATTTAGGGGCTGGGAAGGTGGCTCAGTGGTAGAGCACTTGCCTTGCATGCCTGAGGCCCTGGGTTCGATTCCTCAGCACCACATAAGCAAAAAGAAAAAAGCTGGAAGTGGCGCTGTGGCTCAAGTGGTAGAGCACTAGCCTTGAGCTAAAGAGCTGAGGGATAGCGCCCAGGCCCAGAGTTCAGGCCCCACGACCGGACCCCCCAAAAAATAGTAATAATAAATTTAAAAAAGAAATAAAAATAAAAAGCGACAAGCCAAGTCCAAGATATGCAAACTTAAATCCAAAAGAAAGAGTAACACAAACAGTTCCAAGGAAGTCAGGATGAGGATGAGTGTGTGCATGTGGTATCCAGAGTGGTTTTGAGGTCTGACTAATCATACAGCTATGATTTTTTTTAAAGAAATGATGTCTTTAAATGTTCATTGAATTGACTAGAATTATCCCAACTCTTCATTGTTTTGATTTGGATTTGATGAGGCTGCAGTTGGTGCAGCACATCATCCCTAACTATTGCTCTGTTTGTACAGACAAGATTCCCCATTGCTGCCATGCCCAACACGCTCACAATCCATCCATGCCACCATGCATCTTTGGGCATACCCTACCCTCAACTCCTTCCTTCTTGCCAATACTTTCCCCTCTAGTTCTGTTTCTTATCTAGTTCTACCTTTCACAGCCCCTTACCATATGAGTTCTGATTTTTCATTTCAGTAATCATAGAAGACATCGTTCCTCTCAGAGTCAATAGTCATTAAGACTGCAGTTGGTAGGTGGGCACTAGTGGCTCCCACCTGTAATCCTAACTACTCAGGAGGCTGAAATCTGACGATAATGGTTTGAAGCCAGGCCAAGCAGGAAAGTCTGAGACTCTTATCTCCAATTTATTAACCCCCAAAAGCTGGAAGTGGAGGCATGGCTGAGGTATTAGAGCACTAGTCTTAAGCAAAAAAAGCTCAGGGACAGTGCCCAGGCCCTGTGTTCAAGCTCCAGGACTGGCGCATGAGCACATGTACACAGTCAGAGACAGAGACACAGAGACACACACAGAGACACACACACACACACACATACATGACTGTAGTGGGAAGTCAGCTGGATTCCATTCCACGTTTTACCACCTAGTAGCTCTATTAAAAGAGCAAGTTTCTTAATTTAAGCAATTGACCTAGTCTGTTTCACTTTTTCAAACTGTGAAAAGGAGCTCATAAAAGCATTTCCTGTAAGGGGAAGTGTTTATTGTGAGAATTAATGAGTGGAGAAAGACAAGGTTCTTAGAATGATGTCTAGCATTTAGTACCTACTCAATAACTAGTAACAATTTATTATTTTTTCTCTCTGAACAACTGATAAACTTACTCTGAAAGATTTCTTATCTAAGATTCACTGCCTTTGTTTAACACCTAGGAATTAACCTCTGAACAGCAGGTCCAAACTGGCATCTTGTTGGCAGCTGAAGTCAATGAGGCTGTTTATGTTTGACAGTAAGGATTCAACAGAGGTTATCTACCATCTTCATCCTCATCTTCATCATCTCTATTAGTTCATATTATCAAATTCCTTATCTACTCTTCTCAGGCTCTTTCTACTATAGCTGCCATCACCATGGTACACAAGGCTTATTCTCTTGTCGGCTGAGACACTGAGCCCAGGTCCTTAATTCAACAAGCCAGAACCCATGTTATAGGTCTAAGTAATTACTATGTACAAACTAAAGCCTGGAATATCTTCACAAAGCCCCTGGAAGGAAGAAGTCCCCATTCTTGCTACTACAACTCCATCAGCAGATAGGTTCACGTATGTTAGAATGCTAACACTCAAAACATGTTCCTGTCAAACCTGAAGATTTTAATTTTATGGTATCATCTAGTCCAGATTATGTGTTTATAGAGCACCTTTTCCTAGAGTTACTGCATCTATCAAACTTATCTTCTCTATCATATCACAGTGTCTTTCTCATTTCATCTGTAAGAGAGATTCTAAAGTATTATATTTAGTGAATACTGAACAAGGAGAAGGTCTGACTTGATTCACTGCATAGAGGGCAAGCAAGAGTTTAAGGGTAGAGAGCTCAACTTCTTTCAATTACACACTTTTGTATTTTAGGGCATTGGCTTCTATCTGCTCCCTACCTTTAAGATACAGAATTAATTGCAGTTGTCTAAACAAGAATTATTAGTTAGAAGATTCACAAATGTATGTCTTTACATTGAGAAACAAAGCAATATAGCATCCTGATTTTTTTAAGTTGCCATGCCTATCATTGACATTTGTAGTAGAGTACAAGTTCCTAAAGGGCACAACTTCCATTTGGCTTCTAGGAAAACAATATCTAGTTAAAAAAAAAAAAAAAGTCAGCCAATCAATCAATCAAATCACTCTGGAACTAAAAAGTAGGGAACAATAGTAGATCCTTTAAAATAACTAAAAATGTCTTTTTCATTTCTACCCACAAATAATTTTAGAAACAGCCCTGGATGCATGTCATTATTCTAAAGTTTGCCCCCAGTGGCACCTACAGTTTTAACTTTTGGCTGACAGAAATCTTATTAAGGTTTACAACAAAACTCTTCATGGATATGTTAAAGGGACCATCACCAAGGTGTAAGATTCCTAATCACTCTGCTGCCTAGTCAAGCAAATCATCATTCTGTTAAAAAAAAAAAAGTAACATGAATTTATGGTTGACAAATCAGTAATTCAAAACTCTTCCTCACTCCATGAAATATGTTTTTGATGATTAACTGGTAACAGTCTAGAAGTTTAAAAAAAATCACTTTGTATGACAACACTGAAATAAACTGCTTAGATTTCAGACTTTATAGAGTGTCAAAGCTATTAATTCAGCAAAGTAACACACTCACAATTATATTTTCAATTCTCAGCCAAAAATCGTAATTATATTTATTCTAATAAGAAAATTACTCATAAGAATAGCTATGTACATGTGACAGTAATCTTGATATATGGTTAAATTAAAAATCAGTATAAAAATCATTTCATAAAGTTTTAAAATTGGAGTAGATAAATTGAGATGTTAACCATGTTCTGCCAAACCACCTATGAGAGAGAGCACATTTTTTTTCAAGTGTGGAGTTTGAGGGAGGGGTTTGTGTGTGAGAGGGACAAAAAATATGACAAAATGTTAATAATTGGTGGATCTAGCTAAAACATATAGTAATCACTATATAATCCTCACAACATTTCTAAATTTTAAAAATCCAACTACAATAAGTAACTGCAGTAAGTAAACAAATGAATTTTAAAATTCACAGCAACTATTTGTAGTTGCTGGTGAAATTTGAATTTTACCTTTCTTTTCTTCAACATTTATAACTCTCCTTACTGTAAGTAGCAATTATTTTGTTAACCAAACATCACCAACAGTTTTAAAGGCAGAATTTTCTCTTCACCCCATTAACAAGCTTGATTTTCTCACTAGCAACTTGATGCAATTTAATTTTTTTTCAAGAGTGTTACAAAGCCACACTTATCTAAGAAACAGCTCTGAGGCGGCCACCCATTTTCTGCTTTACCTTGTTCTCTCCTACAGAAGTGGAACACAGTAAATGAGGATAAATTGTCTCTTTAAGCGCCTTTCCATCAGCAGGGTATATGCTTTTTGAAAGCCTACTGCATTAGAAAAATAAAAAAGCCAAGTTTAGAAGTTTGGAGTTTCCCTCCTCCCTCTTTCCACTTTCAAAAGCCGAATGGTACCATTCAAGTTTCTAAATTCTGGTTAGAAATTGTTGGGTTAATAATTACAAGTGACTTTTTGAAAACCCAGCACCAGCTGTACAAGTTATACATGGTTAATCTCATTCCTCCGTCCCCTGCTGCTCCACACAAAAGCTGAAGCCCACCAAGCCCAGACTAAATCTTCTAGTGCCAAAGTTGTTTTGTTCTGGTTTTTGATCATGGGCAGCATGCAGGGATTTTTCCATAATAAACCTCCCAAAGTTCATTTTCTACCTGAGTATTTTGTATGCTGCTCCCATCTGAGCCCACCTGTTCAGCAGCTGATAGATGTAACTGTGACCATCCTCCATCCAGATGAGGACCCTGTGAGCCGCGAGCACCTCTCCACCAGCAAAAAACTGTCCATTTCCACCCACTTCCGTCCACAGGAGGGAAAAGTCACAATAATCATAGACCTAGAACACAGCATTGATGCTCATTAACAAATCTTTACAATATAATCCTCCAGTGAGATGAAAATAGAATGCAGGCTGATCAAGATTATTTAGGTAAGAGTAACAATGTGGAAATAATCTAACTTGGTGGTCTCATTGTCAGACTGTGCTTATTAAATGTAAAAACTCAAAATCCCAAATTGTTAGCTATTTTTCTTTTTTTAATTTTATTTTCCTCATGTGTAGTCCAAGTTTGCCATTTGAAAATTTGTTATGCATATAAAATACTTGTATAGCAGAAGTCCTTTCTTAGAACATATACTTTAAATCTTTGTTAATAAATGTACTATCACCATACTTTTGCTGAGTCATTTATATGGAAAATTTAAGGAAAAGAAAGTGCCATCCTGTGACAGCAAGTTAGCTCTTAGTTTATTCTTGGAGACATCAGTGAATATATTTACTGGAAAGAATGTATTCCAAAGAAACACTGTACAGATACAAAATTGAAAAAAGACAAAAACATCTAAAAATAAAGGTCAATGTATTTTAGTCAAAAGTATTCATTTTCTGATACTACAGTACAGGTAGTTTTTGAAAATACTTTGAGAGACAAATGCTATTACTTTTGATGGCTTGTTACTGATAAAATTAGAATATACTAATGCATATGTGAAATCTCTTGGGGAGCAAAATGGCTATATATGCGAAGTTGGACACTGGTTAATCAGGCATAAAACACAAGTCATTCTATGTTTTAATGATATTATCATAAACAGCTTCATAAATTAAATTTACTGTTATTTTAGAATACCTTCCAACACTTAGAAAACACCACCAACAGAAGTCTCTCTGTGTATGTGCAAAATCGTATGCTCTGGCAGTTCAAGGATTCCAGAAACTTGGATTCTTTTTCATAGACATCTTGCTTCTCCTGCAGAAAGAAAGAAAACACATTAGTACTAATTCCAGGAAGTTTACTAGAACCACCAGATTACCTGTTCTATATGCCTGCTGTAGATCACATCATTATAAAATGCAAAGTACCCCAGTTTCTTTGGAGTGTTTTGAACTAACATGCTACTTTGAAGCAGCAGCTCTGAGTAGGAAATCCTAGTAGATTCAAGGACTTATTTATATATAATCATTCTGGGGAAGGGTAATGCAGAAATGTTGAAGATATAATCATTATGTTACAGACATGGAAAAAAGGTCAAACAAAATATGTAAAATATTTATAAACCTGGAGTGTCTTAATGATAATTTTTTAAAAGAAGAAACACAAGAGAAGACAGCACAGATACAAATAATAATATGATCTCAGTAAGTTTCTAATGATGTTGGGTGGAGTATTTCTTGAACTCAATATCTGGGTTCCTCATCAAAGAGCTCATCTGGCCACCAATGGCTCATGCCTGGAATCCTAGCTACTCAGGAGGCTGAGATCTGAGGATAGTGGTTCAAAGCCAGCCTGGGCAAAAAAGTCCATGAGACTCTTATCTCCAGTTAACCACCAGAAAACTGGAAGTGGTGCTGTGGTTCATGTGGTAGAGCACTAGCCTTGAGCTGAAGAGCTGAGGGACAGTGCCCAGGCCCAGAGTTCAAGACCCATAACCGACCAAAAAAAAGAGCTCTATCAAGAACCACTTGGAATAGCCTGAATAATTCTGTAACCAACACAAATACTGCATTTGAGCTCTTGTCCATTCCTTTGATTTGTAGCCTAATGCCAAGAAGTGTGTGAGTATGTGAATATACTGTATGCTCGGGGCCTGTGATTTTACCCCCATGGTTATCTTCCTGAAATCACTTATATACCCCTAGAAAAGAGAGGGTCTTCTCTTACTAGAACACAGACATTCTGCTATAAATTTGTAAAATAAAAAATGTACTGTGTTTGTGTGCGTAGATAAAATCATTTGTATATGTGTGGAGAAAAGGTTGGAAGGACACAATCCAACTCCACATCCTCCCTCATTCTCTGGGAAGAGTGAGGGGAAAATAGATAGAGGTATTTATATACTTCCACATCATTTGAACTTTTAAACATGAACATGATTATATGTTCATAATCTTATCATTTAAAACATTTCAATAAATATTCTTGAAATGGGAAAAAACAGTTTCCAGCCAACCAACCTGAATGCTGTTGATAGATGAGGAGAGATCCCAAACCTTGAGTTCACCTGTTACTGACACTACAAGGAGAGAATCTTCTGTAAAAACAACAGAGATCACACATGAGGTAACTATTGCCATAACTTGCTAGTGTAAACTGTTTCATTTGAGGATGATGCAGGTCTGCATAATACACAACTTTGGATTTTTTTGTCTTTGCTTTCTTCTTGGCAAGTATAAGCACTCTACCATTTGGTGTCACCTTCTCTAGTCCTTTTGTTCTTTGCTTTTCAATTATGGTTAGCTCTTTTGCCCAGGCAGATCTTGGACCTTCATTCTCCTACTTCCACATCCCAAGGTAGTCCCAACCAGAACTATATACAACTACATTGGGCTTGTTTTTAAGATGAGGTCTTGCTAACCTTATTACCTAAGCTGGCCTCAAACCACAATCCTAACATCGTTACCTCCTGAGTACCTGAGATTACTCAATACCACCAAATCTGGTAGACTTTGGGTGTGTTTTCTTTTTTTAAATTAACATTTCAGTCTTATACCAATTTTGCTTTGAAATCTCAATATACAGAGAATAGAGACTATATAGAGAATAGATTTAAAAGAAGAACTATGATAGCTATTACATACTGGTAGTATTAACCCTCCAAAGTAAGAAAGGAGCTACTCCCACTTTCCTCTGGCATCAATCACTACAGAAACTATTTTCATATGACTTTATCTAAAAAAATACATCAAGCCCAAAGCTTTAACAGTCCTGCTATTTCAGGCAAAGACTTGTCTGATGATCTTACAAGTACTAAGAAGAGCTGGGAAATGGAAGCATAGATTCTCCTCCTTTTACTATTACCTTGAATTCTCATGGAGTGAACAATGCACATACATTTGATCCAATCAGGAGACTGGGATGTGAAAGTGTGAATAACTGACAAAGTTTTGGCATCCATAACAAGAATGTCTTGGTATTCTCCACAGCACAGAAGCCAGCCTTCCCCTGTCATCCGGAATGAGCAATGGTAATACTATGCAAATAAAATTCAAAGTAAAAAATTTAATATTCATGAAAATTAACATAACCTTTAGCTGTGTTGAGGACTAATCTGAAGTTTTAGTTTTAGCTCTTTTCTAATAAATTGGATGGCAACTAAAACTTTTAAGTTTACACTCATGCAATGTGGATTTTACATTTCAGGTTTACTTGTATTTCATCATTTTTCTGCAGAAAGGGAGATCTTATAAAAAGAAGAGACATCATCCCAAATTATGGAAAGTTCACAGGTATATTATTTCTATAGAGTTAAACATCAACACAAAACCCTGGTTCTTTACTCCAGCAATACTGCTACATGTAGATATAAAAGAAAAACTGAAAAGTTTTGGTGCCAAATAAGTTTCTGAAATTGCTTCCTATAAAGATCAAGTAGTAAATTCTACCTTTAATGAGCTCTCTGTTGGTGCAGGGTTTTAGTCACCAAAAAATTTAAAAGTTTGTTGAGTGTTGAAGAGCATCAACACTAAAAAGCAGTGTACAAAATATGAAAAAGGCACTGTCAACAACAATGGAATCATGCAACTACTTTCTATGTGCTTGAAATGTATCCTCTATTACTTTCCATGTCCTTGAATTTATCCTGTAAAGGCCAAATCCTGCTTTGAACATTGGGAAGTAGACTAGAAATAAAGCTCATGATAGAATACTTGCCTAGTAAGTGTGAATTCCTGGGTTCAAATCCCAGAACTTAATACAAAAAGCACTAATTATTGAGAAAGTATTATAAAGATTTTTATACCTCTTGTTCTCTGTTCATAAATAAGTTGGAAATTAAAAACCTATCCAAATGGGTGCTGGTAACTCACACATCTGAAATTGTTACCTACTCAGGAGGCTAAGAGTGAGGAGAGTCTCTTCTCTCAAACAAAAAGCCAGATGTGGAAATAAGACTTCAGTGGTAGAGTGCTAGCCTTGTGTAGAAAAAGCCAAGCAAGAGCAAGAGGTCCTGAGTTCAAGTTCCAGTACTGGTACAAACAATACCAACAACAAAGAATACCAAAAGAATATGTCTAAAATTGAAACTGAATGGGGGGAAAGTTTATGCTTTATAAAATAGCATATCATTAAAGCCAAGTATGTATGTGTTTTTGTGTGGTTTTTGTCTTTAAGGGAAATGAATGAAATGGCCATTCAAAAGGTTAAGATTTAAAAAAATGAAAGAATCAGTAAAAAAAAAAAAAAAATCAAGCAGTATCTTTGAGAAACAATGCAAAAGTAGCAGGTAATTATTGATTTTTTTTACTCTCAAGAAGAAAAAAATCCAAGAAAATATATTCCCCAAAGCTATTTCTTTCAATGTTCACAAAGCAGCTGTTGTATATCAGTTGCAGTATCCAGAAATATTCTGCAGGAAATGGTTTATACTTACACAGACTTCAGTGTGCCTGTAAGGAAGTTTGGCCTTCTGCACGCACTGTCCATTGCTGACATTCCAGACACACATCTCTCTAGAAGAGATAGTTCTGTATTATTTCCACTCAATTGGCTAGAATAATTTTTTGTGCCATCAAGTTTTTCTTGAGCATTGCACTTACATACAACCTGACCGTTTATATGGCTTTTTGTTACAGATTACTGGGCAAGAAAATGTTGTGGTCATTAGCAGGGTTGACATACCGTATGTGTATCTTTTTGTTTGGGTAATTATACCCTGCCAGCAGCCTGCAAATCTGACTTTAGGGCCACCCTGGCCTACAAGAAATTGTACGGATACAGAGATCAGTGCCCATGACAGTGACAGGATAACAATCTTTCCATGGAAACTGCATCCTCTTTAAAATGAACTTAAACTACATATTTTGAAAAGCACAATGCATCAAGTTGTGCCATCTTCCAGAGTTAAGGTATTATTTTTTAAAGCAAACAGCGCCACCTAGAGGCTACATTCAGTCTCTCATTGATGCCGGTCTTTCTTTTTTTTTAATTTACTATCTTTAAGTAGTTGTACAAAGGAGGTGCCATTTAACAGAACAGTTTATGAATACAATGCATATTAATCAATGTCACCCTGGTCAATCAACATTCTCACCCTTGTTTGACCCACTGCACCCCTTTTGTTAATTTTGTTGTTTCTACAATTAATTCTTTTTTTTTTTTTAATTTTTGGTCATGGGGCTTGAACCTGGGCTGCCCTTCAGCTCTTCAATTCAAGGCGAGGGTTCTACCACTTGAGCCACAGCGCCACTTCTGGCTTTCTCAGTGTTTATTGGGAATAAGTTTCATGGCCTTTCCTGTCCCAGCTGGCTTTGAACCACAATCCTCAGATCTCAGCCTCCTGAGTAGCTAGGATTACAGGCGTGAGCTACTGGCGCCCAGCTACAATTAATTCTTGACTGTACTCTCTCCTCTTCATTTCTTCCCTTCTGACTTGAAATCATCTTGTCACTTTAATATTTAAAAACACGCCCCCATCATTTTGAAAAATTCTTATTTGGTGCTTAAATGATGTGGTCTAATAAATGCAATTACAAAATACACCAATGGATGGATATTTAACATTTATAGAATTTTGGCTCACAAATATTAGAATGGCTGTTTCAGAGTTGTTTGGCACAGCTTTTCATTTTCATAGTTGTAACACATAAACAACAATGTCCATAGGAAAAAACATCAAAGGTTTCATAGCTTTATAAGGGAAATGAAGTATTACAAAGCAAATGAATGCCTGCCAGGCTTGGTGGTGCACACTTGTAATTTCAGCATTTGGGGGCAGAGGCAGGAGGATCATGAGTTTGAGGCCAGCCTGGGCTACATAGTGAAGGAATCCTGACCAAAAAAAAAAGCCAACAACAAAAGCAAAAGATGGTCACTACTAATGATGAATAACATTTTTAGTGGTTTGCAGCTTTCTCAGTTTTCTACCCAATGTTCTAAAACAACAGTACTTAAGTTCGAATGACTTTGTTCCCAGTTTTCTTCTTTACAAGGACATGTCCTTAGCAGTATTTGGAGGTATTTGTAGATGTCCCAACTAGGAACACACTACTGGCATCTAGTGGAGAGAGACCAGAAAAGATGCTAAACCTTCTATAACAGGTCCCTCTCAATAAAGGAAATGTACAGGCCAAAGTATCGCTGGTACTGAAATTAAGAAACATGTTCTATAGGGAAGGAAAATATTTCATTTCCACTCTCTATTTATGTTGTTTTATTTCAGAAAGAATTTGAAGTAACCTGGAAATGGCAGGTAGCTCCATAAAACAGGAGAGAACATTTGTGTCTGAATTCTGGCTCTGCCATCTTCCACATGCTTCAGAGCAGGAATCAATATCTCAGCATGTGTGGGAAAGCTGTAGGCCAGTGTTAAAGATGAACATAGTAGGATATTTCACTTCAGATTTATCCCATGTTCAGTCTCTCTAAATACAATCTACTATTGCTTTGTTATAAACCAAGGGAAGATAACCACGTACCTCTGTGATATCAATGGTCTCAATAAATAAACTTGTTTATGCAAGTAGGATATTTGGCTCTTCAGTGTTCTATTGGTTTTCAAAATTCAGAGGCATACAAATGTGTATGTATACACACATATATAATATCTGTTTGGGGCATAAACAAAAGCAGTTCCTCTTGTTTCAACCAGCAACATCATCTTTCATTGACAAATACATGTTGAAGCAATTCTACATTTCCTTAGTATAATTTTCCAAGTAACTCCAACAGATTCTGGTTAATCTGCCAATGAGCTTCTTCCTGCAGCTAGGTCCTACCTCACCATAGCACACTAATTTGGATGGAACTTCACCCAAATCACTGTGTATCTTCCTTTCCCTTCTCTCTCTCAGCATCCCACTCACAATAGCAGCAAGCTATTGCAGGAACAACACAAAGACTGTTGAATCGTTTCACAAAACTATGAAGAATTTGCCTAGGAAGTCAAAGGGGGTTGCTCATGATTAAAGACAAATAGGATTTTCCCTTTCCAATTCTATATTAGGCATTTGTCATTGTTCTTTGCATAGCATAGGGACCAGAAGTCCTGATACACATATTGGGATGCTATCATTCCTGCTACCCAGCAAAAAATGAGTATCACATTCACAGCCACAAAACTGACTATATTTCTTGAGATCAAGAGACAAGACTTAACGATTCATTTTTCTTATACATAAAAGGAACAGGTTAAAGGACGATTCTGATCAAGAAGCCCTGGGCACTTAGATGGTCATGTTAAATTACAATCCTCTTGTACAAGTTTTTGAAGTTCAGAAAAAAATGAGATGAAAGTGAAATAAACCCCAAGACAGGGACACAAGTGGTTTTTTTCTTTCTTGCTATTGTTTTTAATGTACTTACAATGCACTATGGGATTCTCTTGTTTCTTTTGTTCTTCCCCCACAATATAGCCCCTGTTTTCACCGTATCTAATTCCGGTGTCCTGAATCTTATATATACATTTTATAACTTGGGGAGGGGAACGGATATAACAAAATGCTTAAATAAGGATACATGTTGACCCATTGTAACAATGAGATATACAAGACACTATGTTGAAAACTAACTTTACAATTTGGGGGTGGGAGGGAGGAGTTGGGGAGATGGGAAGGGAAGAGATGGTAGGGGAAAATCAAAGGAGGAGGTACCCATTTTCAGCAGCGCTGACCACATAGGGCTGTTTAGAAAAGTCCCTTGCTCTTGCCAAGCATGTGACTGGAGCCGAATGACCAAATAGGAGTTCTTTACCTGAAATCTGAAAATGATGAGAACAAGCTATTATACAACCTTAGACTATGTAAAAAAATTGAAAACACATGATACTATACATTCTGATTAACAAAACCTTTTTTGTCAAAGTGATGTACAGAGGAGTTACAGTTACATAATTAAGGTAATAAGTACATTTCTTGTCAAACTTGTTACGCCTTCCCTCATTTTTCTCCTACCTTACCTCCCCTCACTCCCCCACCCCCAATTTATACAGATCATTTCCAACATATTGTGTATATTGCTGTGCTATTGGTTTCCCCTGGCTTGTCCTTTGTCTCACCATTCTGTTGTTCCCCTTTCCTTCCCTAATTCAAATAAACATATATACAATACCAGGGTACATATATACAATACAGTGACAACAGAGGCTATACCATAGAGGGAAGAACATATAAAAGAATCAAAAAACCACACATTATATTAAAAACAACACCAATAAAGAAAAACTTCTTATGTCCATGTCTTAGAGTTCATTTCACTTAGTATCATCTTATATGGTCATATGCACATAACTATTGAGCTATTCTATTCATCTGCTAAGACTATCCTAGACATATACTAATTCTTGCAAATAAGGGATACCATAGGACCTATGTTTCTTTGGGCCAGGCTAACTTCACTTAATACGATTTTTTCCAAGTCTTTCCAATGCCTTACAAATGAAGCAGTGCCATTCTTTCTGATGGAAGTATATAATTCAGATAGATCGATAGATAGATAGATAGATAGATAGATAGATAGATAGATAGATAGATAGATAGATCACATTTTCCTGATCCATTAATCTACTGAGGGCATCTGGGTTGATTCCATATCCTAACTATGGTGAATAATGCGGTGATAAACATAGTTGTGCTGGTAGCTTTAGTATGGTCTTGTTTGTGATCATTTGGGTAACTGCCCAGAAGTGGAATTGCTGGGTCATAGGGGAACTCTTCTGAGGAACCTCCGTACTGCTTTCCAGAGTGGCTGAACAAGTTTACACTCCCAACATATACTATGATCAAATAGGATTCATTTCACAGATGCAAAGCTGGTTCAATATAAGCAAATCAATTAATGTAATTCATCACATCAACAAGAGCAAGTATAAGAACAAACCCTTTTTATAGTATGCCTTTGTGTACACAAGTTTCAGAAAACTATTATGTGGTATGTTAAAATCTACCGAACAGTACATTTCTAGGTGAAAGAGTTATGCTGTTTGTGCTCTACACATTTTGTTTGTTCTGGTCTACCACAAGCACCTAGATGTCTATCAGACCTATTTTATGACATCCAGGTTTTGAACACAAATCAGTATTGTTATTATGCACAAAGTAACTCCCAAATGATGGTGGCACATGAAAATATATACTTTATGTTGGGCGCGTCCCACCTGTGATCCCAGCATTCAGGAGGCTGAAGCAGGAGGACTGTAAATTTGAGGTCATCCTGGGCTATGTAGTGAGACCTTATGTCAAGAACAAAACAAAAATCTGTGCAGATTTCATAAGGTTGTGAAGCAGTATATATGTGTGTGAATATACTTATAATACACATATGTGTATGCATAAATGATCACTAGGACACCAGATCATTCTATTTTTAATTTTTGACAAATCTCTATTCTGTTTTCCCAAATGGCTATATCAATTTAAATTCCTACCATGGGTAAGATCCGGATGGGTCAATGGTTACACAAAGATAATTTCTCATATTTTATGAATCTATCAAGAAAGATCAGAATACTTTGATTGTCAATTTCTATCCCATATAGTGACCTACATATTATTAGGCAGCTATTCCAGCCAGAAAATAATACAGTTTAACAAAAAAAAAGTTAACAAGACATCTGAAGCCATAAAAGAATAGGATATGAACATCCAAAGGCTCACATCTGTAATCCTAGTTACTTAGGAGGCTGAGACTTGAGGATCTCAATTCAAAGCTAGCCTGTGCAGGAAAAGCAAAGCTAAGGGGCCAGGTGCAGGTGGCTCAGGCCTGTAATCCTGCCTACTCAGAAGGCTGAAAGCTGAGGACTGTGGTTTGAAGCCAGCCCTGACAGTAAAGTCCATAAGACTCTTATATACAATTAGCCAACAAAAAGCCAGAAGTGGAGCTGTGGCTCACATAGTACAGTGCCAGCATTGAGGAAAAAAAAAAAAAAACTAAAGGACAATGCCCAGGCCCTTAATTCAAGCCTCAGTATAGGCACACAAAAAAAGTTGAAACTACAATAGAAAAAAATTACCAATATATATGGCCACCCATTTTCAAACTACAACTGTTTCCATAATACTCATTCTTTCTTTCAATGATGTTCTTAAACATTAAATAGAGCTGGTCTGCTATGCAGCTCTTGGCAATCTTGTAGTAGAACTATTCAGTGATAAAGGATGTTAATTAATTACACTATAAAATAGAATTACAATTAATTGTTAATTTAGGTTTTAAAGTGACAGACTTTAAAGGCCAAAAATAGTCTTTGATCTTTAAAAGGGTTCTTAATGAGAGCAGTATACTTTAAGTACATCATTAGTTAAAATGTTCAAATTGGTTGTAGAGGCTGCTAGAGTTAAGCAACTATCTATCCCAATATGTTAAATGTTTATGACTTAGGACAAAGACAATTAATTGCTAATTGATGGGCTGAATCCTAGGTGAGGTCAGGTTGGGGAATAGGAAGACAATAGTAAATTGGAGTCAGAGCATTTTGACGTGCTCCAGAAAAAAAAAAAATGTCATAGGAAAGCAAAGACTGAAAGAAAAGCAAGAAGGCTAAACCAGCAGAAATACCCAGATAATTAAGATATTACTCATTTGCTTAATAGTGGGTTTTCAGGAGTACCCTCTGTTTCGATTAATGAGCCATAATTTTTAGAACTATACTTACATGTCTGTAAGTTCACTTACTTAAACATATAATTCAGGATATAAAATAGTAAAACTCAGCAAAGCTTAAAGGATGATAACACTTAGCTGATAGCTAAGATTAGCCATATCCATAATTTTCAAATATGATCTTGATCTATCATATAATACTTGACTTTCTGTAAATTCCTAAGTAAAACCCATTTATTAATTAATGAGCATCTATAAGAATCACACATACTTTCCTCAGTCACTGCAGACAGAAAAGGCCAGGAGTATGATGTCTGCTTCAAGACTAGTAAGTTTCAACTAACCTTTAGTTCAGGTGAGAGATTCCACAGACAGAGCTGACCCTCTTGACTTCCAGTCACAATAGTTTGCTGGTCCTCGGTGATCATGATAGCTGTGATGCTGTGGGGAGGGGCCTTCTTTCCCCAGAGGGCCACAGCCTGCATGGAAGTCCGCATGTTGCATGAATCTTGGATACACTGGGAAGGGGAAAAGAGTCCTCAGTCCTCCTCTTGTCATTGTTCTTATGGTTAAAGAAATTGATCATTTTACAAAGTAGATTTTTAAAGTATTATCTTTAAGCAGCTTCACCAACAAGGTGTCATTTAACAAAGCAGTTTATGAATACAATGTATCTTGATCAGTGTCACCCCTTTCAATTTCAACATTCTCAGCCCACTTTGACCCATCCCTTCCCTCACTTTTCTTAATTTTGTGATAGATAAAATGAATTTGACTGCATCCTTCCCCTCGCTCCCCTTCACTCATCTACCCATTTCCACTTGGCCTACCCACCCTCTTGCATGTACCTATTTTTTTTGAAGGCCTGTCTTTTTATTACTAATTGCTCAATGATTTTTTTTATTGTGAAAATACTGTACAGAGGGGTTACAATTACATGGGCAAGGTAATGAGTACATTTCTTATCAAGCATTGTTGCCTCCTCCTTTGTTTCCGCTTCCCATCCCTTCCCATCTCCACCCCCTAAGCCCCCCCTCCCCTCAGCCAAAGTTGTAAAGTTTGTTTTTCGACATAACGTCTTGGCATGTACCCATTTTCTGATGCTGATTTTGTTGGACTTTGACCTAGTCTTGCTAAAAAAAAAAATATACTATATGTTCTCTCCATAAAGTCTATTAAACTTTGGGTAATTCATGTGTAAACCACTTGCATATCACCCAGTGTTTACACTTACAGATTTAGAGGTAAATTCTATCCACCACAAATGAGGGAAACTATGTCATCTTTTTTCTCTGGGTCTGGCTTACTTCACTTAATATAATTTTTTTTACCATCAAGTACTGAATTTAGTTAATGTAAAGTAAAATGACCATGCCCAGTGCTAATCCATGAGAGAAAAAAGGATGTCTTTGCTACTTTTTCAGTATTGGGTTGAATACAGAGCCTTGAGCCTGCTAGATAAGCACTTTATAAGCACTGAGCTACATTCAAGCTCTCATATCAATTCTTGATCACTGACATCAATGAACCATAGAGAAAGTCTTCCCTCCACACCCAGCTGTTACTGTAGTTTTATCCTAAGCTGGTCCAGAGCGCATCCAGGCTACGTAAGAGAACAGAGCTGTCTACGAAGTATTATACAAAGACATCTTCACATCTTCCTCTCTGACAAAAATGTTCTTTCATCCAGAGAACGTGAAATACTTGAAACTTGCTGCCTAAAAGAAACCCCTTTTAGAAGAAGTTTTTTCTGGTCTTCAAAGATTTGTGCTTAAATAGTTGTCACAATTTTTTTTTTTACCATAGTCATACTCTAGGTATACTATAATATTTTTATTTAACCTATGTTTATCTCTGATATCCTCTGAACAATCATGTTCATGAAATCATTACTTTTGTGAGTTTCAGAGACTGAAATACAAAAAAAAAAAAATGGCTGCCTGTATACCATCTAGTGATATGCTACATTTTTGTGAGACACAATTAAGTATTTTCCTGAAGTAGGCATTCTTTACAGAAATGTAAATAATTAGGAGATGCAGTTTAGTAGGGTATGTTAATTCCATAGGGGGTGAAGCTTAAGGAAAACAGGATAAATTAATACTCAATGTACATATGTGAAAATGGAACTAGGTAACTTGAAGGGATGGGTGGGGTTGGGAGAAATTGGAAGTGATGGGAAAGATAACAGTGATCAATATGTATTGTACTCACAAACTGACATTGAATTGAAACACTTTTGTAGAACTACTTGAAGATAATTTTCAACAGTAAATAGTAACAAAAGAAAAAAATGTCAAAAACATTAGAAAGGAAGAAGCCTACGAAGCCAGCTTTCCACATTTACTTGTAGACATGAAGAAAATGAAATTACTGCTTGGCAGGATTTCTAGTACTGAATCATCAGAAAGTAAATAGCAAAAAGAATTTTTTTAACTGGTATATGGTAAAGTGCTTAACTGCATCTATCTACATATGCCTGGATACATATATAAACTAGTATACACTAACACTGTAAATACTGATTCAGTACAGACTGTTTGTGAGTCACTAATTTTTTTGTATGTAGTTCTATAGTTTGGAATTCAGTATAGTCTCTTTACGCAGTCTTGGCTGGCTTTGAACTCATGATCCTCCTACTTCACAACCCCCTCAGTGCTGTAGTTAGAGGCATACATCACCATGCAAACAGTGTGACTCTACTAGTCTTCTGCTCAAGCACCAGGAAACAACCTATGCACCATGAAACCCAGGTTTCTGCAAGAGATGCTCCGAGTTCTGTAATTCTGAATAACAGCTATATGCACAGTAAACACACTGCTAAGCTAATCAGACAGTTCTAGGTTTAGTAATATAATTTGAGCTTAGACCTTTCTGTTCCATACACAGAGAAATATTGCATTACATATGTACTCAGATTGTTGGTTCATTTCTAAAATTTCAAGTCAGTTGAGCAAATACGGAGTAAAATCTGAGAGAAATCTGAAAGCCAGTAAGTACAATAAGCACTAGAGATGGGTCCTTCTGCAGTTTGGGGACTAGGAATGTGAGTGTTCCTCTACATAAGAACAAGAGGCAAACGCTTTCTGTGGTAACCTTGCCCAGTGAAGGGAAAACCAGAACAAGTACACTAGTATCAAAGAAAATAAAGAGGCTTACTTCCAAATCTCCAAAGAAAAAAATGTGGCAAGCTTAAACTACAATGGGCATAGAATTAAAATATATCATTAAATACACAGACACAATGAAAACCATGAGTGAAAACAAAAACAATGTAAAAAAATTCCTCCTGGATCAATGATATTACAGGAAAGTTTATCAAAAATACTACAGATACATTAGAATATACAATGTTAAGTTAAAAAACAGACCACAACAAGTGTTAAGGAAAACACATCGGAAACAGAACAAATACACTGATGATGGGAATGTACAATGAAAGCCAGTTTAATAGGTTTGTACATATTTACTACATGACCAGTCAATCCACTCATAGATCTTGTCCAAAAGTAGAAAAGACACTTCTGTTTATAGGAAGACTGCTACATGTGCAGCTGTACTCACAATAACTAAAAACTGGAAATAACCCAAATGTCATTTAATAGGTAACTAGATAAACAAATTGTGGTATGTCCACATAATGAGGTACTATTCTACAATAAAAAGATTCATATAACATGAACCTGAAGACAATTAAGTGAAGAGTGTGTCCACATAATGGGGTACTATTCTACGATAAAAAGATTCATATAACATGAACCTGAAGACAATTAAGTGAAAAGTGTAACTAAAGAAGAAAATGATTCTCACTGTATACATTTTATACAATGATTCTCATTGTGTAAGTTTAGAAAATTCAAATTAATCCAGCAGGTAAGTGATTGCTTGAATAGCAAAAGAATTGGCAAGCAAGGTAAGGTTGTCAGGTGGTAAATAAGCTTATGATTTTAACTGTGGTCACTGGATGAGATCACAAATGTATCAAATGTTACACTTTAAATACCTGCATATATGCATACAAGTTTTCTGTACTTTAGTAAACTTCAGGGCTTTTTGTGAGACCCTCCACAACCAAGGACTTCTATAGAAACAAATAACTCCAATAGTAAAGAAACTCACAACCAACAATTATAAAATAGCCAGGAGCAAGTGGGGCACACTTGTAATCCAAGCTACTCATGAGGCTGAGATCTGGCGATTTATGGTTTGAAGCCAGCCTGGGCAACAAAGTCCATGTGAAAAAGGGATAGTGCCAAGGCCGTGAGTGTGTGTGTGTGTGTGTATTTTTCCCAAACAGTAATGAACCATGAGCAAGAAGAGAGACTAGCACCCTGGGAAAAATGACAATCCAGTTCAAAGGAGGTAGAGTTAGAAGTTTGAAGTCATCCCAGGCATAAAATTAGCAAGATCCTATCTCAAAGAACAAGTCAACTGTCATGGCTCATGCTTGTAGTCCCAATTATTTGGGAGGTATAAATGAAGGATTGTGATCTGAGGCCAGTCCCAGCAACAGTGTGACACCCAATCTAAAGAACCATACCCTCAGCCATGTTTCAAATGGTAGAGTACCACTTAGTCAGTGCAAGTCTGAGCCAAGCCTCTCAGAGGTAACTTTGCCCAAAGAAGAGAAAACCATCAAAAGTATACCTAATACAATCAAATTAGAAAACAAAACACACAAAAGCAAAGCCACAAAAAATCAAAACCTCACAAGATTTCATCCTGAACAATTACAATTGCCCAGCACAGTAAAAAACATTCCTAGAATTAAAACACTTAGTCCTAGGGTTCATTTTAACATGTAAGGTCCCAAAGATAATAAGTCATAAAGTGAGAATCCTCTCACCAGCCATGCTGACATCTCATTAGTTTAGGAGGAATAAATTTAAATATATATATATATATATATACATATATACAATAATAGAATTATCACTATACCTATGATGGTATTTTTAATGTTATCATGTATATAGCGATCATATTACAAATTCCCCCAATTCTAGAATTTAGAACAAATATACCCTCAGGATCATTATTCTTGTAAGAAACCTTGAGAAATGGGGTCTTGTTAACTCTTAAGACCATTTCTGATTACAAAATTCTGAGACTAATGAATTACACAGTGAAAATAAAGAATGAAAGTGGATGCTGGGGCTGGGAAGGTGGCTCAGTGGTAGAGCGCTTGCCTTGCATGCTCGAGGCCCTGGGTTCGATTCCTTAGCACCACATAAGCAAAAAGAAAAAAGCCGGAAGTGGCACTGTGGCTCAAGTGGTAGAGCGCTAGCCTTGAGCTGAAGAGCTGAGGGACAGCGCCCAGGCCCAGAGTTCAGGCCCCACTACCGGACCCAAAAAAAAAAAAAAAAAAGAAAGTGGATGCTGGTGGTTCATGCCCAGAATACCAAGGTCTCAAGAACCTGAGACCTAAAGAATAGCGATTCAAAGCCAGCACAGAGAAGTTCCCAGTTAATCTCCATCTAGCCAGCTTGAAGCAGGACTAGATATATGGCTCAAGAGA